CTAGCCTCTTGCCGTGCGGTGCTCGTGGTACGCTCGGCGTACGTGCGTGAACTCCTTAAAATTCCCAACTCTCCTTACTAACTATCACTCTAATATATATGATATATGCTGAACAATACTTAAGGGAAAAGTGGGAAAAATCCTCCTAAGTTACCTTTATATACTAGGAAACCAAATGGGGAAAATGATTAGGGTGAAGTAGTGTCTTGTTGTTTCAACAATAGCATGACACTTGTAAATTAGCTAAGAGATTAAGGATGACTAATCACTTGTATTGCCACCTCATGCTACAAGCTTTGGAGAAAATTTTCCTTCCACTTGAAAGATAAGTGCTACGACAATTTGGAGTAATTTGGGACAAAATCCGTACGACTATTGCTGGTTAATTGTGATTAATTATTACTTAATCACAATTAAATGCTTAATTATTTTATTAAGCATAATACTTAATTCCCAAAATTATTCCGAACGTAAACAGAACGTCGAAAATAATTTCGGGTATTCCCGACTGAAAATAATTAATTCCGAAAATTATTACTCGACAATATTAATATGTCAGAACTAAAAACATGATTTATAATAATAAACTGACGGAATATTACATCGATATACCGTACGGATCAGAGTTTACAACAGAATTTAAAATTTTATAAGTATTTATCTTGTAAATACTTATTCCGTACATAAGTATAACGTTATAACGAATAAGCATCATTTAAAATCTAGTAACTTTTACTAATTTTGATTTGATATGTAATTTATAAAAATTACCTTTGTTCTTGAACTCCTTCAAATTCGACGATGTATGAGGAAATCAATTCCCAGTTTTGTAACGATCACTTCTTGTGGTTACTCACTTTAGGAATCCAAATGTATTCCCTCTAATCGTATCCACCTTTTGAAGTCCGGTTCCGACAATAGTTCCTTCGCTAGTAGAAACTACTCAGTTTTTCAAGAAGTATAGAATATATATTTATAAGGAAATTTTTCAAGAACACTTTCTTGTATTATCACTCAACTCTTTGAATGAATTTTCTCTTGGAAGAATTTTGCTCAAAACTTAGCAATTAATGTGCAAACATTTTGCACCTATTTATACTAAACATTTTAGCATAAAATAATCAATATTTGATATATTTTATTTTAAATAAAATCAGATTTTATTTAAATAATCATACCAAATATTGACTTTTAATTAATAATGTGATTGTTTTATACCCACCATCAATCATTATTATTGTATTAATAAAAATAAGATTAATTATGTGGATTAGTTAATAACTCCTAACCACCATAATTAATTTATTCTTATTATTATTTAATCTTCAATCATATTAAAGATAAATAATAAAATAATAATTCTTGAAAACATTTTTCAAGACTTTATTATTTTAATCTTTTCTTCCATTTCCTTATTTAATAATCTTATTATTATTTGGATTTGAAATTTAAAATCTAATTTTAAATTCCAACTATTAATTAGTAATTCTATTAATTACTAAATTAATATCCAAAATTCAATTAATCAATCTAATTGTTTAATTTAATATATTTCTTTAATTGATATCTAATCAAATTAGATTTGTCAATTAATTCTAACTCTTTAGAAATACTATTTGAATTTTACCTTCATTCAAAAATTGGTATGACCTTTTAGGTTCACA